ACCTGGCCTGCTTCATGGTTTTGGGGTTTTTTTTGTTGTTTCGAGACTGAGTTTCACTCTTGTCACCCAGGCTGGAGTGCAGTGGCTCAATCTCGGCTTACTGCAACCTCCGCCTCCTGGGTTCTAGTGATTCTCCTGCCTCAGCCTCCCAAGTAGCTGGGATTACAGGACCCTGCCACCATGCCCGGCTAATTTTTTGTATTTTTAGTAGAGACAGGATTTCGCCATGTTGGACAGGCTGGTCTTGAACTCCTGACCTCAGGTGATCTGCCCACCTCAAAAGTGCTGGGATTACAGGCATGAGCCATCATGCCCGGCTGCTTCCTGTATTTTTAAGCTCTGTTATTGGGTACCTGCATGCTTACAATTACCGTCTTAGTGAATAACTGACTTTTTGACATTATGATATATCCTTCTTTAATGTTCATAATATTCTTTGTTTTGGGAAATTAACACTTTGATATTAGATATAAACATTGTTATGTTCTTTTTTTTTTTTTTTTTTGAGACAGAGTCTTGCTCTGTCACCAGGAACCAGGCTGGAGTGCAGTGGCACGACCTTGGCTCACTGCAGCCTCCGCCTCCCAGGTTCAAGCAATTCTCCTGCCTCAGCCTCCTGAATGGCTGGGACCACAGGCATGCGCCACCATGCCCAGCTAATTTTTGTATTTTTTAGTAGAGACGGGGTTTCACCATGGTCTCGATCTCTTGACCTCATGATCCACCTGCTTCGGCCTCCTAAAGTGCTGGGATTACAGGCGTGAGCCACCGCGCCCGGCCTATATTTTACTTTTACTATACCTGTGTCTTTATGTTTAAAATGAATTTCTCATATTCGGCATATAGTTGGGCCTTGTTTTTTTTTTCTGAATCCAGTCTGACCGTCTCTGCCTTAATGTAATTTTTTATATGTTTATGTTTAAAACTATCATTAAGGCCGGGCGCGGTGGCTCACGCCTATAATCCCAGCACTTTGGGAGGCCGAGGTGGGTGGATCACAAGGTCAAGAGATCGAGACCATCCTGGTCAACAAGGTGAAACCCCGTCTCTACTAAAAATACAAAAATTAGATGGGCATGGTGGTGCGTGCCTGTAGTCCCAGCTACTCGGGAGGCTGAGGCAGGAGAATTGCCTGAACCCAGGAGATGGAGGTTGCAATGAGCCAAGATCGTGCCATTGCACTCCAGTCTGGGTAACAATAGCGAAACTCTGCCTCAAAAAAATAATAATAAATAATAAATAAATAAATGTATCGTTACTACTTATTTTCTATTTTTCCCTTTTTCCCCCCCTCCTGTTTTTCTGCGCTCTCTATATATTACATATATACATAGAGAGAGAGAGAGATTGATTTTTTTTTTTTTTTTGGATCTCAATTTAGCTCCTATTTTGGGTTCTTAATTATATCTTACTAATTTGGTGGGGATGGATCTAGGGTTTACAATATTTATCTCTAATTTATTGCAGTCTACTATCAGATAATATTGTACTACTTCATGTATAATGTAGGAAATTTAAAACACTATACTTTCATATTTCCCCTCCCATCCTTTATGCTATTGTTGTTATGGATTTTACTTCTAAATGTTATAATCTCCACAGCACTTATTATTTTTGCTTCAAACAATCAGCGGTCTTTTTTTTTTTTTTTTGGAGACAGAGTCTTGCTCTGTCACCCAGGCTGTAGTGCAGTGGCATGATTTCTGCTCACTGCAACCTCTACCTCCTGAATTCAAGCAATTCTCTTCTCCAGCCTCCCAAGTAGATGGAATTACGGGCACTCGCCACCACACCAGCTAATTTTTTTGTATTTTTATTAGAGACGGGGTTTCACCATCTTTCACCAGGCCAGGCTGGTCTTGAACTCCTGACCTTATGATCCACCCGCCTCAGCCTCCCAAAGTGCTGGGATTACAGGCATGAGCCACTGTGCCCAGCCCAAACTCATCTTTTAAAGAAAGTTTTTGATGGAAAAAAGAGTTTATTTTTACCCATACGTTTACCTTTTCTGTTGCCTCCCATTCCTTTGTATAAATTCAGTTTCCATCTGATATCATTTTCCTTCTGCTTAGAGAACTTACTTTAACATTTCATATATGCAGGTGCACTGGTGACAAATACTTTCACCTGTTGTTTAACTTGGAAAATTTGTTGTTTTTTTTTTTTTTTAAGAGATGGGATCTCATTCTGTAGCCGAGGCTGGAATGCAGTGGTAACATCATAGCTCACTGCAGCCTTGTACTCCTGAGCTCAAACAATCCTCCTAACAGCCTCCCACATAGCTGACTACAGGCTTGAGCCACCATATCTGGTTAATTTTCTTTCTTTTCTTTTTTTTTCTGTTTAGAGATAGGGTCTCATTGTGTTGCCCAGACTGTTCTCAAATTTCTGGCCTCACATAATCAATCCTCTTGTCTCAGCTTCTTGAGTAGCTGAGATTACAGGTATAAGCCACTGTGCCTGGCTCTGAAAAAGTTTTCATTTTGCCTTCATTTTTGAAAGATATTTTTGCTGGCTAAAGAATTCTATATAGGCCAGGCATGGTGTCTCACACCTGTAATCCCAGCACTTGGGAGTCTGAGGCAGGTGGATCACTTGAGCTCAGGAGTTCAAGACCAGCCTGGCAACATGACAACTCCTTTTCTTCAAAAATACAATTAGCTGGGCATGGTGGCACATGCCTGTAGTCCCAGCTACTTTTGGGGGTCTGAGGTGTATGGATTATATCAGCCTGGGAGACTGAGGCTGCAGTAAGCCATGAACATGTACCACTGCACTTCAGCCTGGGTGACACAGTGAGACACTGTCTCAAAAAAAAAAAAAAAAATTCTAGATTGACAGTGTCTTTCAGCACTCTAATGATGTCATTTCGTTTTCTTCTGGCTTGGTTTCTGACTAGAAGTTGGAAGTCACTCATCTCTATTACGTAATGTATCTTTTTTTCTGGCTGCTTTTAAGATTTTCTCTTTATCATTTGTTTTCAACAGTATGATTATGATGTGTTTTGGTGTGGTTTTCTTTGTATTTTCCCTACGTCACATTTAAAAATAGAAATTGTCAGAGTGATTTGAAGAACAAGGCTAAGCTATATGTTGTCTATAAGGAAGCTACTTTATTTATTTATTTATTTTGTCCGAGCTAGCTGAGATTTTATTTGGACCACAAAAAAAAAAAAAAAAAGCAATTGAATCGTTTTGCAGCTGGAGCATGGGCAAGGGGGGTCCCCAGGCAGTAAACTCCCCGCCAGTGAGCTGAGGGCTAGGACTGAGCATCAGGTGGGTCTCCTGTTCCCTGCGCTCCCCTGCACAGCAGCCTCCCTCCTGGGCTCTGGAGCAGCCTCAGGAGGGGCAGGCTGGGAGGGACTGTTGCAGCTGTTCACTTGGGCAGGACGTCAGAGGACTCGGACACCAGCCTCCCATCGCGGGTCTCAGTCTTCTTCACAACCACAGCCGTGGTGGAGCTGGTGCAGCTTGTGACAGAGCCCGTGACAGAGCCAAAGCCGGAGCCCAGGCCGTAGCTGAGGCCGGGGCTTGTGAGGCCCTCATAGGCAGAGCTCAGACCACCTGCATAGCCGCTGGTGGTTTTCGTGTGGATACTCATGTTCTGCATCTCGGACTCCAGCCGGCTCTCCTTGCCCTCCAGTAGCTTGCGGTAGGTGGCGATCTCGATGTCCAGGGCCAGTTTGACATTCATCAGCTCCTGGTACTCATGCAGGTGCTTTGCCATGTCCTGCTTGGCCTGCTGCAGGATAGTCTCCAGCTCCTGCTGCTTGGCATGAGCATCCTTGAGTGCCTGCTCCCCGCGATGATTCACATCTGCAATGGCAGCCTCCAGGGAAGCCCTCTGGCCTTTGAGGCCCTCGATTTCAGCCTGGAACCGGCTGATGTTCCGGTTCATCTCGGAGATCTCAGTCTTCGTACGCCGCAGGTCATCCCCATGCTTCCCAGCCAGCATCTGCAGCTCCTCATACTTGATCCGGTATACGCTCTCCTCCTCAGCCCGGCTGCAGTTGACAATCGCCTCGTACTGCACCTTGACCTCAGCGATGATGCTGTCCATGTCCAGGAGCGGCTGTTGTCCATGGACAGCACCACAGACGTGTCGGAGATCTGGGACTGCAGCTCCCGGATCTCCTCTTCATACAGCTGCCTGAGGAAGTTGATCTCGTCAGTCAGTCCTTCCAGGCGAGACTCCAGCTCTACCTTGTTCATGTAAGCTTCATCCACATCCTTCTTGATGAAGACAAATTCATTCTCCATCTCTATACGCTTATTGATCTCTTCCTCATACTTGTTCTTGAAGTCCTCCACCAGCCCCTGCATGTTGCCAAGCTCCGCCTCCAGCTTCAGCTTCTCCTGGCCCAGAGTCTCCAGCTGCCGCCTCAGGTTGTTGATGTAGTTCTCAAACATGTCGTCCGTGTTGCTCCTAGCCGTTTTCTGCTGCTGCAGGAGGCTCCACTTGGTCTCCAGCATCTTGTTCTGCTGCTCCAGGAACCGCACCTTGTCGATGAAGGAAGCAAACTTGTTGTTGAGGGTCTTGATCTGCTCCTTCTCCTGGGTACGCACGGCCTGGATGTTGGGGTCCACATCCACCATAATGGGGTTCAGCAGGCTCTGGTTGATGGTGACGGCGGTGATGCCTCCCATGCCTATGCCGCTGGCCCCAGCATAGCCTGCACCTAGGCCACCCCGGAAGCCACTACTGCTCACTCGGGAGAAACTCAAGCGGGCACTGGGCCCACTCGTTAAGGAGCGGCTGCTGAAGGCCCCGGGGCCAGAGGTGGACACCTTGTAGGACTTCTGGGTCACCCTGATGGACATGGTGGAGGCAGGAGTGGAGGCAGGCGGGCTGAACCAGGGAGATATTCCAGAAGGAGCGGAGAAGCTGCTTCTTGGACCAAGAAAGCTACTTTAACTATGAAGACACAGATTAAAAGTAAATGGTTAGCGAAAGATATACCACATGTCATATGCTGAATTGTGTCCTCCTAAAATTTACATGTTGATGTCTTAACCACCATTACCTTAGAATGCAAACTATATTTGGACTGGGCTTTCAAGGGTGAATTAGTTTAAATGAAGTCATTAGAGCAGGCCCTAATCCATTATGGCTGGTGTCCTTATACGAGGAGATTGGCTCAAGCCTGCAGTTTCTGAAATATTTGGGAGGCTGAGGAGGGTGGATCACGAGGTCAAGAGATCTAGACCATCCTGGTCAAAATGGTGAAACCTTATCTCTACTAAAGATACAAAAAATTAGCTGGGCATGGTGGCGTGTGCCTGTGATCCCAGCTACTCAGGAGGCTGAGGCAGGAGAATTGCCTGAACCCAGGAGGCGGAGGTTGCAGTGAGCCGAGATCGCACCATTGCACTCCAGCCTGGGTAACAAGAGCGAAACTCCATCTCAAAAAAAAAAAAAAGAAGAGGAGTTTGGGACACACAGAGACCATGTGAAGATAAAGGGAGAAGATGACCATCTATAAGTCAAAGGAAGAAGCCTCAGAATGAAACCTGCCAACACTTTGATCTTGGAATTCTAGTGTCCAGACTTTAAGAAAATTACTTTCTATTTTTTGAGCCCCATAGTGTATGCCATACTTTGTTATGGCAGCCCTAGCCCTGATGGACCATTCTAACACTAGTCAGAAGAATGTTGAGGTAGCTGTATTAATTTCAGAGAGAGCAAACCTCAGAGCAAGGACTATTATCAGGGATAAAGAGAAGTGTTGTGTAATGATAAAGGGGCCAATTCTCTAAGAAGACTGAATAATTGTTAATGTGTACACATCTAACAACAGAGCATCAAAACATATGAGGCAAAACACAGAAACAAGGAAAATAGATGCATCCACCATTATAGTTGGAGACTTCAGCAGCCCCTATCAGTAATGGACAGATCTGCCAGGCAACCGATTCAGTAACAACATAGTTGAACTCAGGAGTACCATCAGTCAAATGGATATAATTGATGTCTATAGAATGCTTCGTCCAGCAACAGCAGAATACACATTCTTCTCAAGCTCCCAAGGAAATTACACCAAGGCAGACCACAGTCAGGGCCATAAAATGCACTTTAAAAAATTTATAAGAATAGAAATGATATGGAATATGCTCTCAGATTACACTAGTATTCAGTAATGGAAAGAAAGCTGGAAAATCCCAAAATATGTGGAGATTAAACAACACACTTCTAAATAACACATAGGTCAAGAAAGAAATCTCAAGAGAAATTGAAATGTATTTTTTTAATTTTTACTTCTCATTTTTGTGGGTACATAGTAGGTTTATGTATTTATGGTGTACATGTGATGTTTTGAAAAGTATTTTGAAGTGAATAAAAATGAAAATACAACTATCAAAATTTGTGGGATGCAGTGAAAGCAGCTCTTAGAGGGAAATTTATAGCACTGAATTCACAGCTTAGAAAAGAAGATCTAAAATCAATAGTGTAAGCTTTCACTAGAGCCAACTAAGAGAAGGGCAAATTAAATTCAAAGTAAGTAGAAGAATAGAATAAAAACTAGACCAGAAATCGATGAAATTGAAAACAGGGGGAGGGAACTTGCACTGAAGAAGCATCACTCGAGACCCCAAACCTCCAGGTGTGAGACCCAGATGGCACCCAATGGATGACGAGAAGAAGAAACGGAGTCCCAAGCCCTGCCTGGCCCAGCCAGCCCAGGCCCCAGGCACACTACGCAGGGTCCCTGTGCCTACCAGCCACAGCGGCTCCTTGGCCCTAGGACTTCCTCATCTGCCATCCCCCAAGCAGCGGGCCAAGTTCAAGAGAGTAGGCAAGGAGAAGTACCGCCCAGTGCTGGCCCGAGGTGGAGGCGGCTCTGCAGGCACGCCCCTGCAGCACTCCTTCCTGACCGAGGTGACTGATGTCTGTGAGATGGAGGGGGGACTCCTGAACCTGCTCAATGATTTTCAGTCCAGCGGGCTGAAGGCCTTCGGGAAGGAATGCTCCTTTGAGCAGCTGGAGCACGTTCGGGAGATGCAGGAGAAGCTGGCTCGGCTGCACTTCAGCCTAGACGTGTGTGGGGAGGAAGAGGATGATGAAGAGGAAGAGGATGGGGTCACTGAGGGGCTGCCGGAGGAGCAGAAGAAGACGATGGCTGACCGTAACTTGGACCAACTGCTTAGCAATCTGGAAGACCTGAGTAATTCGATCCAGAAGCGGCACCTGGCCGAGAACGCCGAGCCTGAGGAGCAGTCTGCTGCGTAGGTGTCTCACGCAGACCCACACTGGTCCTCGCATTCTCTTCAAATTGTGACTTTTTACGGACTCGGGCTGGTGTTCCACGGCCCTCCAGGTGCTATGCGGGAGGGGGGCAATGGATGCAATTAAACCAGAGAGAGAGAAAGAAAAAGAAAAAAAAAAAGAAAACAGGAAATCAATGGAGTACATCAAGACTAAAAGCTGGCTCAAATAAATAAACTCTGTCTCAAAATACACAAATAAATATTTGATTCAGGCATATGTATGGGCTTCTCCCTCCCCACCTCGCCCAGACAAGAGTTGCCCAGGCTGGAGTGCGGTGGCACTCAATTCACTGCAACCTCCGCCTCCCGGGTTCAGTCAGTTCTCCTGCCTCAACCTTCCAAGTAGCTGGGATTACAGGTGCTTGCCACCACAGTCAGCTAATTTTTGTGTTATTAGTAGAGACTAGGTTTCGCCATGTTGGCCAGGCTGGTCTCGAACTTCTGACCTCAGGTGATCTGCCTGCCTCTGCCTCCCAAATCTGGGATTACAGGTGTGAGCCACCATGCCCAGCCATGTATGGTCTTTTTTTTTGCCCTTATGTTTAGTAATTTCAGTTTCTGAAGTATTTGAAAATGTGCCAATAAAATGTAGTAACTCTTAATTAAAAAAAAAAAAAAAAAACCTAAAAAAAATGTTAACAAATCTAACAATGTATGAAAAGAATTGTACACTGTGACCAAGTGAGATTTATGCCAGATATGCAAGGCTGGTTCAGCATTCAGAAATCGATTAATGTAATCCATCACATCAGGGGGCTACAGAAGACAAATCACATGCTTATATCAACAGATGCAATAAAAGCATTTGACAGAACTCAACACCCATTCATAATAAAAACTTTAAGCAAATAAGGGATAGAGAGGCTTTTCCTCAACTTCATAAAGAAAAATGCAAATTAAAATTATAAAATACTACTACAAACCTACCAAAATAACTGAAATGTAAAAGATTGGCAATATCAATTATTGGTGAAGATGTGGAGTAACTGGAACTCTGATAAATTGTTGATGTGATTATCACAACTTTAAAAAAATGGTTTCAGAGTATCTTCTTTTCTTTTTTTTTTTTTTTAATGCTGTTCTCATGAGAGTTTCATAGTATTTTCTAAAGCCAAACATTCACCTACCCCATGGCCCAGCAAGTCTACTTCTAGTTGAAAAGAGTGCATATGTTCAGTAAAAGACACGTACATAAATGTTCATAGCAGCTTTGTTTTATAATAGCCATCAACTGTAATTAGCCCATATGTCCACCAACAAGAGAATAGATGGATTATAGCATTTCATACAGTGGAATATCAACCAGTAATAAAAAAGAATGAACTACTGTTTTACATGCAGTAACACAGAAGAATCTTATAATGTTGACTAAAAGAAGCCAGGCATGGGCCAGATGTGGTGGCTTACACCTGTAATCCCAGCACCTTGGGAGGCCGAAGCACACAGATCACGAGGTCAGGATGTTGAGACTATCCTGGCCAACATGGTAAAACCCTGTCTCTACTACAAATACAAAAATTAGGTGGGCATGGTGGCGCGTGCCTGTAATCCCAGCTACTCAGGAAGCTGAGGTGCGAGAATTGCTTGAACTCAGGAAGCAGAGGTTGCGGTGAGCCAAGATCGCTCCACTGCACCCCAGCCTGGGCGACAGAGGGAGACTCCATCAAAAAAAAAAAAAAAAAAAGCCAGGCACAAAAGAATACATACCCTGTGGTTATATTTATTGGAAATTCAATAAAAGATGAAACAAATTAATAACAACATTGGGCCAGGCACAGTGGCCCACACTATAATCTCAGAGCTTTGGGAGGCCAAGGCAGAAAGACTACTTGAGTCCACGAGTTCAAGACCAGCCTGGGCAACATAGCAAGACCTGATCTCTACAAAAAAACAAACCAGACATGGTGGCATGCATCTGTAGTCCTCACTACTTGGGAGGCTGAAGCATGAAGATCACTTGAGCCCAGTAGTTTGAGGTTACAGTGAGCTATGATCACACCACTGCACACTAGCCTGAGCAACAAAGCAAGATGATGATGATGATAAAATTGGAGTGGAGTAAAGGTAACATTGTTTAGTAAGGGGTGTGAAGATTGTTTTCCAGCATGCTGGAAACATTCTACATCTTCATCAGGGTGGTGGTAACTGCCAGTGGTATGCTAGAACAGACTCATACTCACTTATTAGAGCCAGCTATTAGATATTCATGAATTTTGCAAGCTGGTTGACTATGACTAGCTTATCACTGGCCATGGTAAGAGTTTTTAATGCCATGGAAATCTACCAGTGGTTTTACCAAGTAGTCAAGTTCGGTTGATAAACATTTAGCAGTATACTACTACTTATTGCTCACCAACTCACCAACTCTGACTATAGAAGGCCCTTAGAGAAGATAAAAACCAGTGAGGTACTAAGGAATGCTGTTATCCAGCCTAAGCCAAAAAGGGTTGGCAATAAGAAACATTAATAGCTGCTATTGAGCATGTCTTGGTCAAAGAATATTACTTTGTGTACAGCTGCCTAGTGTTTGACTTTTCCATTCTGCCTTTAGCCACAGTAAATTTTCTCTATTTTTGAAAACAACTTAATGGTAGAAAATTAACAGCAAATCATAGCCTTTCTGTAGACTCCTTTTGACATCTTGCTGAATTGGTGTCCTTTTGATTTTGAGTAATTCAAGTTCCTACCCTTTTTGTTTCTTCTTCTTTAGGAGCATTCCGGAAGAGTTTTTCGACTCCAGTTTGATGAATTCCAGATTGTCAGTAGTTCACATGATGACACAATCCTCATCTGGGACTTCCTAAATGATCCAGCTGCCCAAGCTGAACCCCCCCGTTCCCCTTCTCGAACATACACCTACATCTCCAGATAAATAACCATACACTGACCTCATACTTGCCCAGGTATAAAAATCTATTATGTACATAACACTGTGGGTAGGAGATGGGATATTAGTTGTAAGGTGTTGCTATTTCATGGAGCTTTCTCCTGCTGTTTGTGTCCCCCAAGTCCTATAAAGCCAAGGAAGCAGGCAATGTGAGACAGGGCTAAAGCTGCCATAGTGGACAGTGCCTTTCACCAAGGTAGCCAGCCTCAGTTCTAGATGATTCTAGGGTCCTATTTGTGTGGTAAGCCTCGTCATTCCTGCCCTAGTTATCCAGTAGCATTGTTATGAAAATAAAATGAGATTTGAATCAGTTTGAAAACCTAAGTACTGTAATAATGCAAAGGCCTGTGATGTTTAAGTTCCCAGATCAAACAATACCTACAATAGTGTCCTTTCAAGCCAAGTAGACACTCTGAGGTCTAATGTGTGACTGGAAAGATCTCTTGGTGAAAGTTCACACTGACATATAAATAAAAGGGCATATTTTAAAAGGAATATAAAAAGTAGCTTTTATATCCCTGTCCTCATTCCTCAACCCTCAACTCTCCAAAAAGACAGACCTGTCTTTTGACCTCTGACGTTGGTGAGAATTCCATGTGTCCTCGCACTCAAGTCTCCAACGTCTCTCTCAGGCAGGCAGGATATTTTAGACCCTAAAATATCCAGGTTGTCCATACATACTATGGTATATTCATATTGTACCTGGTGTTCTAATCAGTTCGAATGCTGCTGAGGAGCATTGCTATCATTAGTATTTCCCACGTGTGCCTCAGTTCTCGTAGCAGAAGTACACATTCACTACATGTTTCTGCATCTCTCTTTCCAGTGTTCCTGCTGAGGGCAGTGATTCATGCCCAGCTGGGCTTGCCTCAGCACCCCTTTCTCTCACAGAAGACATGGTTCTTATTCCTCAACCAGGTCTCACAGGCTGTGTGCCCTTAGACAAATAACTTCCCAGAGCCTGAATCTCCTGATGAGTAACATGAGGGGCAGCACTCACCTCACAGAGCCCTGTGAAGGCTGCATGGAGATACTGTATGGAAAATTCCTACTGCTTAGCTCAGTGCCGAGTACATAGCATGCCCTCAGGAAAAAGAGGTCATTAGCATTAATATTGCAGTCTCCATATACGTACCCCCGCCTTTTGCCCAAAATTTTCTCTTCCTTAGACTTCTGTGTCACTTTGCCATTTTTAATATTCTTCCTGGCTTTCTGATTATTTGTGCCTCCTTCCCCTCTTACTCCTGAGACGTAGATATCTCTCCTAAGAGTCTTCTGTGGCTTTTCTCATTATTTTTATTTTATTTCTTGAGACAGGGCTTCACTCCTGTCACCCAAGCTGGAGTGCAGTGGCACAATGTTAGCTCCCTGCAACTTCACCTCCCAGGCTGAAGTGATTCTCCTGCCTCAGCCTCCTGAGTACCACAGGCACATGACACCATGCCCAGCTAATTCTTTCTATTTCTATTTCTTTTTTTTTTTTTTCACCATGTTGCCCAAGCTGGTCTTGAACTCCTGAGCTCAAGTGATCCAAAGTGTTGGGATTACAGGTGGGAGCCACCACGCACAGCCTGTCTCTGGTTTTTCTTCCTTACCTGAGGTCCCCTCCTTGGCTGCCTTCTCTCTTCCCAAGGCTTGGCTCTCATCTCAATGTAGAAGACTCAGATTTTTGTCTCCCATCCAAGCCTCTGCCTTAGTCTCCAGGCCACATTTCCAGCTGCCATTCACACAGCTGTCCTTGAAGAGCAAGAGCCCTTCTAGTGATCACATCCTCAACTACACCGTCCCCTCCTTTACATTACTGGTACCCTCCAACCACACAGCCAGGCCAGCTTTTCATGACTCCCCCACTTCTGTTAATGGGACCACCATATTCATGGCCAATCAAAGGCAGAGCCCACAGAGCCATCCCTCACCCCTGCTCTGCCATGCTACAGGGCAGGTGAAAGCTAAGCCAGTTATGGTCACTCAGCCTCATGACATCAGAGTCACTCTGCTTGAATACCACAGCCCTGAGCATGTCAGCAAGCCCTGCATTTAGTATAACTTACCAATCAGGCCAGGTCACCTTAGACAGAAGCTCCTGCATGACATAGGTGGAGAGCAGGCATTAGGAAGGACCCCTAAGCCTTTTCCCCATTGGCAGCTAAGTGAATGCTCTCTTCTCTTCAAGCAAGTAAGAAATACCGGGAAAGGGGCTAATGACTGTTTGCTCTGTTTTCACACAGGACCCATTAAAGTTGCGGTATTAAACGTATCTGCCAATACCAGGACAAGCAACAACAGTAACAAACTACTGCCCAGTTTCCCCGGACTAGCCGAGGAGCAGGGCTTTGAAACTCCTGTTGGGACACAGTTGGTCTGCAGTCGACCCAGGATGGTCTACTCAGCACAGCTGACTGCTTCAGTGCTGCTATCAGAAGATGTCTTCTATCTTTTGTGAATGATTGGAACTTTTAAACCTCCCCTCCCCTCCCCTCCTCCTTTCCTCTCTGCACCTAATTTTTTCCCATTGGTTCCAGACAAAGATGACTTATAAATATATTTAGTGTTTTGCCACAATCTCTCTTGCTTTGCCATTAAGCAGAAGAACTAGTTTCCCTATATAGCCTGCTGGGAAAGACCCACTTCTAGTGGATGGGGGGTGGAATGCAGCTTCAAGCCAGATAGTGCCCAGTGTCTCCCCATTAATGCAGGAATGGGAAGCACCTGGCCAGAGCAGCGCAGTCCCACTGTGCTTAAGAGGAGACGGAGCTCTCTGTATAGCCTCTGAGGAAAAAAAAAAAAAAAAAAGAAAACAGGAGTGTATACACTGGAAGATCTGGGCCTCCTGCCTGCCTTCTCTTTGTTTCTCTTCCTCTTCCCTTCTACTTTCCCACTCCCCTTCAACAACTCTTTTCTCTCTGCTCCACCTGAGAAGAAAGTATATGAAGAGAGTGTCCTCCTTTAGCATGAGGCAGATCAGCCAGAAAATGCAATACTTGCAAGAGTTAAATGCTGTTCAGTCAAGATTTCAGACCCAGGCCTTTGCTGCAAGTGACCCTGTGGCAACAGTGGATTCTCGGACATGATACTCTCATCATATTTGCAACTCTTCTCTCTCTTTCCCCACACCCAAGAGGAGGATGGGTAGGCGGGGGAAGCAGAAGTTTCCTGGGCCCCATCAATGGCTGTATCTTTTCTGGACTCAGCAGTCTCCTTGATTCCATGTAGAGTGTGGAAAGGAGTTGCTGATTGCATTTCCTCTCATTAACAATTAGGTGTGTAATAAAAAGCATTGTACTTCATCTTAAATCACTAGTAAGGCTCAGCCTACAGAAAGGTTTGAAATGGCCAAAGCCAGTCGCTTGGTGCATTCTGCATAATGGTTTCCATCTCTGATTTCTTCATCAGGGCCTGTGAGTACCCAGGTGCCTGTATCTTTGCCAAGACCATGATCAAAGTAGCTTAAGAGAGATGGTCAGGAGAAAATATCATCTCTCAAAAATTGATCTCACCCTGTGAACCTTGCACTGCAGAACCAACCTTCTGCTTCTCCCACACCCAGTGTCTGCAGAAGGGCAAAGCGGCCCAAGAGAGAGGATCAGGGTGAAGTTTGGCACACAGGGTTTATTAATGGGGCAGAAACTGCCTTTTCTTCCTCCTCCTGACCTTATTTTGCTCTCCACTCTCCCCAACCAGTAAAATATCTGTGGCAATTGGTGAACAGCATAAACAGCTGGACCTCAGCAAAGGCCAGGCAAACCTGGCCACTCAGAAGGTAGCTGTGTGAGTTGCCAGCTAGTGGGCTTCAGGTGCAAGGGCACCTGTGCCACACCAACCCAGAAGCACAGAGAATACTATTAATGTGCACCCAGCTGGTCTTCCCAGGCAGGAGTGGACCTGCATGAGCTATCTCCGGTAGTATGGGTGCACCCAGCAGAGGCCCCTGGTTGGCAAGAAGGTATCCTCTTCCCAAGGTGTACCCAGACTGAATGTTGTTATTGCATACTGAGAGGCAGTTTATGCATATGCATTCTACTTTTCCTGCTTTATGGGTACTTTTAAGCTTTTAGTTCCAGGTTATATTGAGAAAATATTTCCCAGTGTAATGATACATCATTGCCTAGGAAGTATTTTCTCAGTATAATTCCCTTACCCGCTACCCAAATTCTACAGAGAAATGTTTTCTACTTGGCCACTATCAGGGTTCCTCATCTGTTGTGTTGACTATTCATGGTTTTTTGATTGCCTAAGGATTTTGCTGTAGATGAAGGGAGAGGGCTGTCAGCCCTGAAAAACACATAGGTCAGATATTTAAAAGGCATGGGTTTCGAGCTGTCTCAAAATATTGTCCAATAGCCATAACTTTACTAGCCCTTCTGACATATGCTGCTATTACAAAGTGGAAGCTGTTGAATGTTTATTGGTGCCCAGGGTTTTGCTCTCCAATCTAGGTTCAGTTGAAAGAATTTTGTTTCTAAGACTATTTTGAAACATGTCCAGTACATCACAGAGGAGATCCGGGCGGACCCTGCAGATGTGGAGCCGTTAGCCCAGTTGAGGATATCCTCCAAGTTATCCTCTCTGCTGCTGATGGAAATGGGAATGAAGTTAAGTGGTCTGAAAAACTTGAATCGTTCACATTTCTCAGCCCTGGGGGTCATTTACCAGTTCATTGTAGAAGAAATAATCAGGTAAGTAAAAGTTCATTTCCAGAGAAGGTAAACCCTACTTACTATCTCTGCATGATTTCAGTGGGAATTGATTATCACTAATCCCCAACTGGGCTAGAATAAATGTAAAGTTTGACCTTTTAAAACAAAAAGAGAGGCAAAGTCTCAGCATATTCCAAGGAGTGGTAGAAACAGAGCTGAAGGTGTCCCCATTGTAGATTAGTCTCTTCTCACTAAAATTTACTTCCCAATGTAGGGCCTAAAGGAAACCTTTCTTAAAGACAAGCTGAAACCCCTTGGAAGGCAGGTAAGGAGGTATGCGTGTACCTGTTACAGACACGTGACCTCTTGGTGCACACTGGGGCTACTTGGACAAGACCAGCATGCCTTGCTGCACGTGTGTGTATTTCACTGCTGAGAACATCCTTTTCTGTATGCAGTCTGAAAGGATGTGGATTACAGATGGAAGGCCGTTGCACTTGTCCCTTGACAAAATTCTTTCTGGTGTCTCCTAACTTTAGACACGGGAACTCTTTTTGGATCTCTACTGACAAGTAATAAAGTCCAGCCCTCATAACTTGTTTCCGAACTAGAAAAGACTGTGAGACCCCTAAATCATTCTGGTTTTTTTTGGCTTGAGTAAGAACAGTCCTTTTTTATTTTTCTTCTGTACAGTCTAAAGCTACAGAGAAAAAAAAAACTGCAGTCTTCCCTTGCTGACTCCTGGTACCATTGGTCTGAAGAGCTGTAGTTGGTCTACTCCTTACTTAGCACTTGATTGTGTGGGGAAACAAAGGTGGGAGGGGTGGGGAATACTGGAAATAATCAGGGCAGTTTTTTTCTTTCCTGGACCTTGGTACAGTTGACCTTCTCAGCATTTCCCTTTTGCCTTAGATGGCAACACCCTCCAGCCCGAAGCAGAGCAATCCAACCCAGATTAGTGCAGCCCTGAGGCCTAGCCTTCGGTCTCCCTGGTCTTCATACAGCTGCACCAACAGACAGACCTCCTTACTTTAACCACAGTGTCAACATAGTGTCAGAAAGAGAGCATCTCTTAAGGGAATAAAACTGAGTTTTGCTTCTTTACCTGTAGTTCATCTGTGGTGTCAGAATCCTTGGAGCTGAAGAGAGAAATCAAAAAAGCATGATGATGGTTGCCTGGTTTCAGGTAGAACTTAATGCATTGATCTTTAGAAACCCCTTCTGTTGAAAGTTGAGTACCCATGATCTAAAATGTCCTGGAGGCAGATGACATCTAAAATATGTGCTTTCCAACCAGCACAGCTGGCGCTCTTAGCTCCTGATTGGTTGTGTGTGTGTTGTATTAAGGATCGGTGCAGTAAGTTGTATTTTAAAGTGTTACCTCCCCTCCTAACCCTTCCCCTTCTTGGACACTGAAGGAAAAGACCAACTAGGACATTAGGCCTCTGGGCACCAAGGAAACAAACAGCTTTCTCAAAGCAGTGACCACTCAAGTCCAACCCAGACAGCTGAGGGATGGCTGGTGAACTCCAACTATGGGACAGGCCTGGCAACACATGTGAGCTTCCCCAAGAACTGTCAGCTGGTTCAGCTCTTTGTTCTCTAGACTCTTAAGTACTGACTGCTTTGACTTTTGTGATTATGTTATGGTGATGTGTAGTCAATGTACCAATATGTTCACAACCTAGGATCATGGTAATAGAGTGCGTTTTGTTTTGTTTTTTTTAACTGTTCAGAAAAAAAGTAACTTAAGTCACAAATATAAGATTAAAGTGAATTTTCTAAGTGTCTTGTCTCCTTGCCCCAGCATCAAAAAGGACAATACATTTTTCAGTATTCAGACTGAGGGGGTGCACAGACAGAATGCCTTTGTAGATAATCTGACATGAGAAAACAAGATTGAGAGAAAGCAGGGATGGATGCTGTGGATGAGCACGGGGTCCCTGGCATACACCTACTACTGTTCCACATTGAGTTAAATTGAAGCCAGAGTCATGTCTCATTTGCGAATTGGTCACCTTAGCCAACCACAGCCCAACCTGAATGCAGAATTTACGTTTTTCTTCTGCAGGTGAAAAGACGAGTTTCCCCTGCATCCCATTTGATCAGTTTATAGGCAAGCAAGCCCACATCTGGGAGCAGTTTCCAGAGGGACTCCAACAAGCTGTAAGAATGAAGGTACCCTTGACCATCTGGTGTATGACATTACAGTTCCTGAGTGAAATCCCCCTTCCCTCCTTCAGACAAACAGAGAGGTACAAGGTTGCAGGCATTGGCCAAATGGGACTCTCTCCCACTTAGTCCTGTCCCCCTCCCCTCTCTAGTGTCATAGGATCCTTGCCAAAATCGACCTGTCCTTGTTTTAAAATCTATGGGCTTTTTGTATTAATAACCCTCCCACATGACCAAGGTTCCCTGGCTTCCATCAGCCTTGTAGTCTCATTGTCTTGTCTGGACTGACCACTGGCCATGAGAGCAGTCTCCCACTGTGGTCAGCATCAGGGCTCCTGTGCCGAACCCTCCCTACTAGAGCTGGAAGAATGTCAAGAGCATCAGGTGCACTCAACTCTTTGCCAATGAGGAAACTGTAAGAATGAAGGTATCCTTGACCATCAAGAGGATCAAGAAAAGGGACCCACATTGCCCAAAACTACACTGAAGTCTTCTCCCTAATAACTAAGGACAGGCAGCACCAGAGAGAGAGAGAAAGGGAGGGAGGTGTCACAGAAACCACTCTAGGGCCACTGGTATCTGCTCAGTTATGTCCCTCACCAGCTGGGCTTCTGAGCAGAAACTGAGCCTGTTTGTGGACCTCACCCTCAAACCCTGTCAGATCTCTCACCCAGGAAGGGTGGGGTCTAGGGCCTGCCCTGGGAAGATTCACCTTCATAGTTGTGGTTTTCTACTGCCAGGCTGGGCCAGGAATCCCTTCTCCCTTTAAACCTATAGCCACCATCAGCAATGACTAAGGGGAGGAGACCTCTCTTCTTCTTGATTGGCTCTTGCCAATTAAGAGCATTTTATTAGGCTGCTAATTAAAGGCACTTCGTTAGCAGCAGGAGAGGCCGAGTGGGTGCCTGGTGAGACAGAGCCGAAACCGGGAGAAATTGTTTTCTTCCCCCTATGGAAGCAGAGCCTCTCAGGGAACCCTCTCAGTCCCCACCTTCTCCTGCTGCGCCTACTACACCCCTTGCTTTCAATTAGCAACTCTGAGGGGAGCAAGGTCATTATCAAACCCAAGCTGGAGTTCCCCTCCACCACCAGCACCACCTCAGGCTGCATGCGGTCCTCAGGGGCTGGCCAGGCCCCCAGGCACCTTATGAACCTGGGCCCGGAGAAGGAGAGGCTGGGCAGCCCAATGGGGAGTGTGTTCTCCCCACTAAGGAATGGGGCATGGCTCCCCAAGCAGCTCAGGTGAATGTCACCTGGTTCTCACCATTGGGGCCATCCCAAGCAGTCACTGGATGACTTGGTCACATAGTGTGAACCCCCCATCCCCCTTTCTTCAACAAAGGCTCATGATTTCATGGAGAAAATGTGCCCTTCCCACCCGTGACTGACAGTCCCCGGGCATTTTCCAAGAGCAGAGCCCATGTAGACCCTGAATGGGTCCAGGAGAGAGGGCTGACAGTTTGACAATCCTGGCCATGCAGACCCTTAAGAGACTCCTGTCCCTGAGCTCACGTCACATGTGAGGCACTTCCCCTGGATGGTCCAAATGAGCCCCCTGCAAAAGAGGAGAGCCTGGCTATGACCTAGGACGTGGAGGCTGGCATGCAGGACCACTCCCTCTCCAGAGCCCTGCCTGTCCCATCTTGTGCCCACCTCACCCCTCAGTTAACTGCAGAATTAGCACCAGCCTGGGCTGTGAGGGCAGATTTATGACTAGGCCTGCTTCCCTCCACTTAACCCGAGGCCGGCCGGGGCTCCAGACACTAAATTAGATTTTTGACAATTAGAGAGACTAATGGGCACATAGCCATCCCCAGAGCCAAATATCCAGATCCAGCAAGACCATTCTTTAATATCCACCACCGGCCAGCCCAGCCCTCCCCTGGCTGCCCCCTTCTCCCTCCCATGGGTAGGCATTTCTTTCCCCAGCCCCTGTCTCTCTTTGCCTGGGCTCTACATGCACTCCCAAGCTGGCTCTGGTTTCTGTTCCCTCTCTTACCTACTCTCAACTTCTAGCCCCTTGCCCAGTGCCAGCCTGGCTCTAGAACTCAACCCCTCTCTCCGTGGCCTTTAGCTTCCTTTTTGTAGTTTGAACACTTGTCTCTTCAGCCCCACTTTCCCCAGGACCCATTTATCTGTCATCTTCCATGTGCCCGGAGCAGACTGCAAGCCCCTTGAGGGCAGAGGCTTAGCCCCTCTCTGGGTCCTAAATGCTCCACACCCAGTTGGTTGTTTCTGGAGACTCCGCCTCCCTCCCCCTCCCTCTGAGCCACTGGGTCTTCAAGGACCCCCAGGCCTTGCCCTCTTGGCACCAGATCCACCCTGGTCTGGCCTGGCTCTGCCGGGCTTGGGTGGCTCCCCCTTCCCTGCAGCCCCACAGGTCTGGCCAGTCTTGGGCTGGGCGGGTAATGAGATTGCAGTAAGGAGTGGGGGGAGCTGCTCACATTCACTCAGGCGGACTCATAGCTCTGTCAGGCTGATTGGTCCTGAGTGGAAGCACAAACGGCCCCCCACGGACACACTGTGATTGGTTATAAAATTACAAGCATTTGTCCTGCTGTCAGGGGCCTTCCTCCCGCCCCTCTGCCTGCCTGCCTGGGCTCCCACCATTCCCCACCCATCCCTCTCCCCAACAGCGTTTGCCCACACACCCCAAAGGACCTGGCCAGGGGCCACCACAGCAGGCAGGGCTAAGAGGCTGAGGCCACCAGGCTCCCAATGGGGCAGGCTTTCCTACCTTGGCCCTGGAGTGGTCACATTGCAGGCTGGCCTCAGAGTGATCTGACCCTGTGCTCAGGGTTTCCTGTCCCCTGAGGATTGGTGGGGGTGGAGGCCCAGGACAAACAGGCCTTGGGATCCTCAGGAGAGGAAGAGGTGTCCTGAGCCCCAGGCCTCCCAGGGACAACCAATGCCTGCAGCTTTAGATGTGGTCCCAGGCTGGAGCTGTGGAGCAAGGGCCTGCCCTGCTGCAGGGGAGAGCAGCAGAAGCCAGGTTGGCCACAGAAGCCCATCTCTCCTCCCTCCAGGTGGCCAGACCCTTTCCCTGTATCCTGACCTCCAGCTAAGGACAAATCAGCCCCCAGGAGAGTCCCTGAAGCTTAGGCCAGACCAAAAAGACAATATGGCCCACCAGAGCCTTGCTATGGTTACTGATCTGTAGGCTGAATCCCCTAGGCCTGCCTCTTAGACACCCCCACCCCGGGCCTTGACAGGGGCCTGGTTACCCCCAAGCATGAGTGCCTCGAAATAACACCTAGTACTCTCTTATGCTTGCACAGAAACACCCACTTCTTCCTGGCTGAGACCCAGGCACCAGCCCAGGTCCTCACCCCAGCTGCACAGCCTCCTTCCCACTCTTGTTTCTCCAGCCAAGCCCTAGACACCGGCCCCTGACCAACCTCCAGCTCCAGCCTCAGTCCTTCCTCTCTGGAGGCTCCAGGCCACCATGTAACCTGCTTGGAGAGATGCTGAGGGAAGGGTTCCCCAGCTTGGAGAGGGGAGTGTTAGGAGAGCAGCGTCTCCTGGCTGTGGGCCACAAGGTGCCTTCCTGCCATCCGTAGCTCATTCGCAGCCCAGAATGTATTTGCTGTAATTACATCTTTAATTAGGGTTGTGATGGCTCATTGTTCACCAACAATGATGGATGGGTCCTCCAGCTTGCCATCCTCCCTCTGTCCAGCACCCTCCAGGTCAGCTCTCCCCCAGCTTTGAGGCTGGGAAAGTGATACATAAGTACCGCCCTCCTCCCACTGAGTCACAGACCCTGAGGCCTAGGAGCAGCCATGAGCTCTGCTCCAAGGGTAATGATGTCCTTTTGGGTTCCGGGGGCTCCCAAGGGATTCGACAGATCCTGATACCTTCACCGAGGGCTGCCTGCAGCAAGGCTGCAATCTCCCCATAGCCACCAGATGCCTCCTTGGTCCAAACTGCCCAGGCCAGGAGGTGGTCTGACATTGCCCTACTCGCACCCCCCACACACATGCCAGATCACACCACCACACCCAGACTGGGCCCGGGGCCACACACACCTTGTCACAGGAGCTGACAGGTACAAAAAGAAAGCCTTGCAGGATGGAGAGTGAGTGGGCAGCCTTAACTCCAAGCTCCCCTGTGATTGAACTGGTGTCTCAGACCAAGGTGAGGCCTCCCTTCCCCCACACACTTCACCCACCCAGGCCATACGCCCAGGTCCAGGGCTGCAGGTGTTGGATGTTTGGTGACTCCATGAGCAAACAGGTCCACCAGTGAGAGGAAATCCACGCTCCTGTTTGGAGGTCATGGGCTGGTCGGGGCCCACACGGAGCAGAGGGGCTGGTTCAGGCCGTGGAAACCCAGGAACCTCTAGGAGGCTTATGGAGGTGAGAGCCCTAATCTGGGCTAAAGCCCCAAGTGGCACCCTCCTGGCCGTATGAACTGGGTGTGTCCCCTAACCTCTAAGTGTTCCCTCATTTATAAAAGGGGGTGAGAACAGAACCCCACCACAAGAGATGACTGGCCAGATTTTCATCGCAATGCTGCATGCCAAGTAAACAGCAGGCTAAGGTGGGAGCCAGAGGGAAAGGGGGGTGGGGTAGCTGCAGGCACAGGAGCTAGGAGAGGGACCTC